TCTAAAGGGTAGGTGGGATGAGGAAGGGGGGGGGGGTAAGCCCTAAAAGGGGGTCATACAGACTTGACCAAAATCGCCAACTAATGATGTGTCCTGATCTACTTTCTTTCCCAGTCGCTGACGCTGCCGGACGCTACTGGACGCCGCCGCAAAGTGTGAAAGCAACCCAAGGGTTTGAAATCATACAAATTTATTGGTGTATTATTTTTAGCGAAGGAAACGACATGCAGAAGAATGTGCTGGTTATCATTGGTGATCAGGATGCAACACCGAACGAAGGCCAATCGTCAAATGTTCTTCACGAGTGGGATTGCTCTTCTTGATAGGGTCAATCGACGACCGAGTTCACATTTCATTCACATCAGAGTTATTGCAAATTGTATTCGATTTTCAGCGTTGCGCACAAACTCGTCGATGAAACGCTCACATCTACCGTACCATTACCTGAATGTCGGTACCAGGTGTGCAAATTACTCAGAATTTTTCCTCAGGTTTTGGGCAGGTTACAAAGTGAAAATTTGGACCGTGAAGATGGGATAGAGCCACGGGTTAAAATAAAACCATCCAATTGAGGGAATAATCCTATGCATTCGTCATCTAGCGCGTTACTTTACTGTTGACGAGTTCAGTTTTTTTAATCTTTCTCCGGGTTTTCAAAGGATTTTAACGAGTTTGTTGACTAGTAAGAGAGCGCACTGAATCATCTTAGTGTTGTGCAAATAGTGATCCCAACTACCTAAAAACCTTTGTCACTTCACTGAATTCCAGTTTTCCGCACAATCTCCAGGCAGTTAGTACACCACAGAATTTTTGGGTGAGCAGTCCCTGAATTCGCGCTTTACGCAAGTATAGCACACTTTTGTGGACAAGAAAGACAAATACAGGCTGCTATATTCATAAGTATGTAATCTTACTTTCCCAAAAAAACCGGGAAGGTCTTGAATGTTAGTAGCGAGCGGTAATTCTTCAAGAAGTTTCACTTGAAAAGTGCTAAGAAAGCCGCGTAGAACATTTGAAATCTTTTCTTTTGGGCTGCCGAACACTGGGTTACTGCTTTTGCGTGTTTGCCTTGGCTGCTACTAACTTACTTTGAATTGGATATCTTAAAACCCAAGCCAAAATGAAATAGACAGTAGCCTACCTGCAAGCTGAACCGCTAATTTCTGTGTCCTTTCCATCGAAATAAAGAGTACAGGGTGGCGCCCAAAAAGTCACTTTTTCATGACTTTCGTGGCGCTTCTAGGTTACACCTTCTAAATTCTAACCGGGTGAGGGATTCAGGTCAGGTGACCTACTTGGATATTCCATCTTCTTTAGGTACTCAGCCCCCTTCCATTCCAAGTAGGCGAGAGTTTCTCAACGCCCTTCGATTCCACGTGGTGGCACCCAATGCTGTAGCAGTACAAAGTTTCCAAGAAGGTACGGGCGACGACATATGGGGAGGATATTCTTCTCGAGTTGCTCGATGTAACCGCCAGCGCTCACCTTCAGTCCGGGGTCCACGAAGAAAATATTGGTCTTTCCATTCCAGGTACCTCCGGTCCATACCATCAACCCGCTCCTTGAGACTGCGGTGAAGATGATGCTCCCTAGACCCGTGGTGGGCCGACGTTGTCGGAGCTGTTCGATGTTGGAGGTCTTCCAGATTGAGAGTACTGGTCTCCAGGTAGCTACCCATGGGTGACTCCACACTAGAAGTTTCGCAGCTGTTTGGAGGTGGACTGAATTCAAACCCGTCTTCTCCAGTCAGGCTGGACTGAGCATGACTCATATTTTGGTGTATACATGAAGGTGATGGGCGAGGGCCAGCTCCTGCTTATCGAGGAACATCTTGGGTATCTTCCGCCCTGGTACTCGTATCCACATCTTCTCTCTGGGCTGCAAAACTTTGCTGAATATGTGACTCGCGTTCGTGACTTTTTTTTGCCCCCCCCCTGTGGAGGAAGGGCTTCGCCGTTGACCAATCCCTTTGTTGGATGCGGCTTACATTCTACTTCCCTTTAGAAATAATGACTCATTGAATGCCGATGTGGCCTATACAATGAGTTGCGGGCCAGCCGATGTACAAGTCAGTGTTATTATCCACCCTGAAGAATGTGGTACCAAATTACCCCATCCACGCGGGGAATAGTAGGCTTGGTGCCGGGGGCGGGGGTCGATCTGTGATAAGAACAAAGCTCCGCGCGAGTGGTAAGCACGCCACATGTCACTACGTATGTCATGTCTCCGCCTCCGAATCATACAGCTGGCTTTGCTGGGCGTCTCTTGGGTTTGATTTCTTGTTTTGAGATGTGACCGAGGTCAATGGGCGCGGCACCGCTATTTCTGACATCTGGAGCCTTTTATCCCCTGACAAACACTACCTGAGGATGTGGATGTTGTGGAAGGATCTGTAGAGAAGATAATGTAGGGTCATTTTTGAAATTCATCGTACTTGACCCTAATGTAATCTTGAGTGGGAAGGCTATAACGCGGCCCACTTGACCACATCACTCTGCTCTACTGTTTTGCAGAGAACCTTCAGAGCTTCTTGAGCCCAACCAGCAAAGCTCTCTCTGGTTGGAGCTTGAGAGCGATGTGATGGTGCTAGTGAGCAGACGTAGACCGCGAGTCGGACATTAGGACTACTTTGCCAATGTAGGGTTGTCTCAAGCGGATTACTTGCCTTCGCATTACTTCTTAGTACTTCTTAGGACGACCTCAATGTTCCCATTTTGAAGAGAACGAGATATGACCATACCTTCTTTCGCTCTGTTGTACTACGATTCTTTATTCATAGTGGAACGTGTTTATGAGACACAAGAACTGAAACCCACTTACTGCAAACCCAACGAAACTAGTGTCTGTCTTTGTCAAGCGTTTTCTGAAGGATGAAACTCGTACTAATATCGTTCTGGGATGATGCATTGGAGAACCTCCTTGGCTTATATGGTGGTTAACCTAGCACCACCCTTATACCTATGTTTTGTCCCTTTAGACGAATCAGTTCGAGTCATCCTATTTCACAAGGCCGAATTGAGCACTGACGGTGGCGTTCAGCCAGAGATTCGATCCACGGATCATGTCCCCGAAAGCGGTGCTATGTGCATTGCACCATCTCCGCCCTCAAGGAAAATTTTCGTCAGATGAATGCTAAATAATTTTCTGAGAATAACCGCCGCATTAGCTTGGCAGTGAAACTGGATTTCGACCGTCTCTACGGAATCCTCGGAGGGTCCGCGAGGTTCGAGGTGGTAGTTGTCCAGTAGAGTAAGTAAGTCCAGGTTTGACGGTCGATATGAAGTCCTACGGTTCTGAAAGTCACTGGAGCCGTTATCATTCGCCACCGGCTTCGAAGGCGATTTAGTGGCAAGTGACGTTGCTTACTCCGTTTTAGGGATCAAGTCTTATATTGCCTATACCAGAAGCCGTCCATCTCTGTGAGATCTGTCAGTTCATACTTCGCTCGTCTGAGGAGGGAGAAAGTGGGCGGGGCCAGGGGGAGTGGAACAAACACATTGACTTGGAAATCACGTGGCCCACTCATGCTATTGCTTGGGCACATCGCTTTCGACCCTACAACTTTCGTGTAAAATCATAGGAATCTGTGGCGCGAACGCAGTAAATTAGGAGGATTGATCACTTCCGAAAACTTTGTCCTTTATTAACTGGTGGTATCTACTGCAAAACTGTGTTGAGTATTTTTCGGAGAGTGAGCACATGCTTTTAGGGACGCAACCAAATCACGTCAGTAGGGCGGTGTAGTCTCAAGTGACCCGCATACAGGGTACAGCATGGGGATGTGCGAAATGTCGGTGTGAGTACGACCCCCCCCCTCCACGGCTTTTTCGCCGACGACGAGCATGAGTATATAGTCGGCGAAAAAGTCGTCGAGCGGGGGAAGGGGGTGTACACTTACTATGGAACGTATATCCCACGGGCGTACAAAATGCATATAGTGCATATAAAAAATTAATACGACCCCCTTTTCCACAAGAAAAAATCAACTATCAAAATAAATTTGTCTTACAAATACGACCCCCCCAGAGCAAAAGTACGACCCCCCATGGGTTTGACACAACGATGCTGTACCCTGCCCGCATATCATGCGCATGGTCAGGGGGTGAGATACTAGGCCGGCTCCCGCCTAGGCCAACCAAGGGTTCTACTCTCCCCGACGGTGCAATGGTACAGAGCTCTCCTGTAAGGATAAAAACACCAACTTGTATATCAGTTGGCGTTGAAGGTCATTCTCAGATCCATTAAGCGATTCTGTGTAGATATAGGATGCGTGGCACATCCCCAAAAGCGCTTTGATCAGCTGCGAGAGCTCTGTCTCTGCCGCTCTTACCACAGTCGCGTCCACATGGTCATTCATCTTGAGAAGTTGCCCCTTTTACTGCATATTTATCATTATGAATGCGGAAACCAAACTCGCCTACGTAAATAGACAGGAAAAAGAGTGCCTTCATTTTTTGGTAGCACAAGCAAGGTCGACTTTTTACGGGGCACTTTCCGACGGTACGCTGCACGAGGAATTTAGTGAAAACTTATGACATTCCATTGAAATTGCCTTGAACATTGACCTAGATAGTTGGGAATGAAAAAAGACTAGCGTAGGTAGTAAGGCAATTCCTTTCGTGAATAATAAGGGGATTCATTACGCTAATTGAGGTACTGGGGAAATCAATTCTTACTTAATCGTTCTATTCAAAGCGGTTCCTTTGATCACAGCGTCTTTTTCAAAGCTCTGTAAGTTTGTGATGAAGAATCAAGTATTCTTGACGACGATGCCATAAATCAGAACCATCTTAGAAACCATTCAACCATTTTAAACCTTCAATTGCTGACCCGGAAAAACCTGTCGCTTTCTACGTGGAACCAACGGGATCATAGTCCGCGGCCATTTCGTAGCGAGCAGCTCCACGACAGTACCACTGAGCGGGACGAGTGCTGACTCCGCCGTCAAAGCCCTGATAACCGTGATTTGTTGGGGCTCTTTTTTGCTGACCTTATCTAAGGCATAATGGGGGGCTGCAGCTTCTTCACGAGTGAGCGGAGTTTTCCGCTCGTTATTGCTGTCGTCTTGTTGAGGCGCGAAATCAAATCGGTATATTCTTGATGCTTAGACGAAGAGTTACGGTAACCATAGAAGGCGTGGGAACATCAAATGAACGCGGAC